ACATGCGGCCTGTGCAATGATGTGGCACTTCCAAGGAATGCGGTTACTCCAGGGGCTCCAGAGATGGAACTATGTACATGTGGGCCGGGCATTAGCCACGAACATTAGGGCGAGTGGCCTCGGAAGGTCACAAGCATAATCATAAAAAAACAATGCAGCGCGCATCAACTCGCTCGACCACTTAGCCAAAGAGAGGCTGAAAAAGCATCACGTAGGTTTCAAGGAGTTTCATCATGAACCTTGGCTTAAAGTAGGCCCCAATCAAAGTAAGCCCAGATGTTTCAACGAACTTAAAGGCATAGTCTTCTACCTAGTAGAAGGTCTCATTATCAAGGCTAAATTAGAGCAGAGCCCAAGGACTTTAGTAACATGGGTGAAAATTATATGGGGATATGCCTCAGTTGGCGGCAGGATACTAATTAGTCCATAACGTCAGCAATTTATATCCTGCACCCTATCAAATTCACTGAAGCTGGCAATATGTGGCAACATGTCAATTAATTCTCGACAACCTTCGCAAGGAATAACTCGAGCTTATATCTAGATTCTCACAATAATTTTACGGGAAAGGGGGAGAGGGTGAGCGAGAGAGTGTTCGGGAGCGATTAAAAGCCTTTTAGTTGCCAATGGCAGTAATGAGGGGGTCCCCCTGTTCCTCCTCCTGCCGCTGCCTTTGCCTCTGCTGTTTGCTGGCTTGCCACAAAAGCCGCCACCGCACACCAGGCAAAGTGCAGTCGTGCCACGCCCCCGCACCGGAGCACGCTCCGCCCCGGCTCAGGACCCCCCCTCCAGGACGCGCCGAGCTCAGCGCTTGCATTAAGTGGCGGTTGGCAAAGTTGTCGACGTTGTGGAACTTAAACACAATGCACAAGGCAAGCGGGTGCATGCAGTAGCTGCTGTTGCCTCTCCATTTTTGGCCCAGGTGCTCGCTGCACCCACAACCGTCTCACATGTCCTGCGGAGCCGGAGAGCGGGCGAACCATAAGCTGCTCAGGACCGGCTTGGTGGCGGGGAGCGAGAGCGGAGCAGAGCTGGTCATGGAGACGAGGACTGCCAGCTGTTCTTATGCCTTAAGGACATTAACCTAATCAACGCTCAGTGCAGGGCTCGCACTCGCACGCACACACGCACGCCGCCACTCGGCAGAATGTTTTGCATAACGAGGGGGCTCTGTTGACAGGGCAGGGCAGCGGGAAATGGGAAATGCAAGAGTGGCGGCAGGGGTGGAAATGCAACCGAACCGAGTCGAGTTAAGTTGAGCCGAGGGTATTGACTGCCTTTGCGAGTTATTGTTTAATGTTTGGTCCGTGATTCAGCACGAGTTTCTGAGCCAGATGGGTGGGGAGCCCGTGCAGAGAGAGAAAATGTGGTGCCTGCCACGGGAAGGGATGAAAGTATAAGCAAAATTAAATAATAATCAAATGCTTGCAGCTTTACTCTTCTCAAGAAATCGCAATCAAAGTCCAGATATATTTCTCTTTTATTAAATATAGTCCTTTTCCCTGTATTATTATTCCAAGTGCAGGAGTCAAAGGCCAAAGTAAACACTCGGATTTGCAAATAGGCAGACGAAATGGGGGCAGGAGTTAATTAGAAAAGGACTAAGCTAAGGACAATGCTGCCTGCTTGTAACGTACAACTTATGATTGCATAGAGTAAACCGCTCCTTCCGTTGCAATCCCTCAGCATTCCGATAGCTACTTACACAGAATAATATTATTAAAGACAACACAAACACGCCGAGTCGAGTGCATTAAATGAATGTTGAATTAATGCAATAAAGGAAAGCCGTAGTGGCACAAAATGAAATTCAACTCGATGTCATTTGCATGTTGGCCGGGGACAAACGCGAAAAAATGCGTGGAAAAAAATCGATGAAATTTTTGCCAGTTAAATGTGACAGTGGCCCCTCTCACACGCCACCGCCCCCGTAATCGGGCTGACATATAGGGACATATGTACGCCTATAGTCGAATGTACGAGCATGTAATTATGTCAGAGCTTGATTGTCCGATCCGCCCTTAGGCGGGCATCGGTTTGCCAGTCCATAAAAGGGACACGGCTTTTTTGCATATTGATAAGCTCGCCCCGTCGCATCGAATGCCATAATTGTCATGCCTGGAAAGCTGAGCGATTTTCGTGTAAAAAATTATTTGCAATAATTGCGTAAAACAGCCTGATTTATGTGGGCGAATCGAACGCTTTGCGGAATAATATTGGTTTTAATATTATTCCGCAAAACGTTCGAAAAACGATCCAATTAAGCGGATGACAGCGCCTCAAGCAAGGCAATCAATTTGTGGGCTTGAAATGGGGGGTACTTATTTGGTTTGTTTCTAAAAAATTACAGAAATTAAAATACATATTTGTAGTAAAAATTATAGGAATAAGTGGTTATTTCATGTATAAGTACATGTGATTTTAAAACATTTAAAAATGTGTCTAAAAGTATGCTCTGTTTAAAAAAAATAAACTAAGTCTTCATTAAGATTGGCGTACTGTTTGCTTTACTTTTAAAAATCTCAAACTAATCCAAAATAAAATCAAGTTTATAATATGTCCGAGTTGTGTTAGGGAGGTGTAGAAGGTATTGTTATGTTAACATAAATTGAAATGTTGGTCAAGTCACATCTGATGTTTTATGTCTGGACCGGGTCAGGGAGGCCGTTATTGTTCCCTCTTTTGATATATATTTTTATATTATCCAGGGGTTATTATAGCAATACAAATTCCAATTCCAAATCAAGAAACTTTAAGGCACTGAAGCCCTTCGAGGGCTAATGAGCAGAGTGTGGAAAACACGTTTGATTGTTGTCAAGAAGCAGCAGTGTTTTATCAACTGTCAAACAGCCCACTCCACTCCGGGCTCCTGCTCCCGCCCAGAAATTTATGCGGCGCAGCGTATGCCGCAGAAGAGCTTGAAGCTCGAGCATGCTCGAGTGTTTGCCAGAGTGTGAGTGCCGAAGTGGGTGGTTGTCGGTGTGTGTGTGTGGCAGCTTCATTAAATTTGCACGCACATCTCGGGGGGCGAAGGACCAGAGGGGGCGTGGCAGTGAAGACTGTGCAATTTCCGACGCAATCTTCATTTACAACTTAAGTTACAGCACAAACAACAAATACAGCAGCGCATGCAAACAAACACCGAGCGAACACACACACTCTGGCAAAAAGTGTAGCCGACTTTTAAGCTGTTGTGAAAACATTTTAGCGCATCTCATAGAGAGTGTGTGGAGTGTGTGTGTGTGTGTACAGCATGTCTGTGTGTGTTGCAGGGAGTTACGACTACTCCATAACTAACCCCGTAGCACCTCCCTTAGTTATGCCTATGCAAGTCGAGCCTAGCGGCGGAGGAGCCTCGCCCGAATAACAGGATATGCCAGGCAGAAATTTATTAGGCGCATTGCATACTTTTGTGCGTTCACTTGAAAAATGACAACTTTAATTTAGCTGCAAACACAAAGCCAGCAGACAGACAGACAGCGGGGAGAGATGAGTAACGCCCCGAAAACGAGAAAAGGGCTGGAAGACAATAGCGCCAGCCAGACAATGAGAAAGGGGTGTACAAGAATGGAGAAAGGAGAACAGAGAGTGGGGCAAGAAGCAAGGAGAAGGCAAAGGATGAAGGCTAAAGCCCCAGGGCTAAGGAGTGCGAAGAAAGGGCTGCGAGACTATTCCCGGGTCTGGATCTGCTTTTGTCAGCTAACCACAGACATTGGCTCCTGCACCGAGAGAAATCATGCCTAACAAGCTAGGAAGCTAGCTTCGGGAGGGTTCAAAAATATTTTAGTACTGCTTGGAGTCCTCTAAAAGCTAGAAAGCAAATGATTTCCCTAAAGTCGTTAATATTTCAATATATTCCAGGATTAAAACCATCAATTTTATATACAAAATTCGATGCGTTGATCTGTGCTCTGACTTTATTATAATAAAAGCTTAATCATACCTTTTGAAAGCAGTTGATGAATTTTTACTGCAAATAAGTCAGACTATCGGCCAAGTTTAATTTTGATAGCTCCAAACTTAAGAGACTAGGGTGAGACACTAGTTCCCTACAAACTTATCCAGTTTTCCTTTCTATACAAATTATTTTCATTCCCTTATATTTCCGTGATCTCCATTAAGTGTAGGATTTTCTCCCCGTGGATATGCATTGCTGCCGGCTACAGTTGACTTTCGGATCATAGAAAACTGGGGAAGGGCAGCCTGTAGTTGTCTTTTCAGATAGGGGATTTCCCCGCTCCGGCTCCGACAACTCCCACGCCCCTCCCTCGGCACTCGTCTCAGATGAATATTAATTACCATTTGAAAGCTTGTCATACACTTGTGTAAATTTATCAACAACAACAGGAGTGCCAGCAGGAAAACAACAACAGTGCCGGGGAACAGGGAACCGGGAACAGAGAAAGGGTGGACCGGGGGTGTTGGAAATTCTGAATCTGAGGCAGACAATAAGCAGAGTTGTCAAAGAGCAACACACGAACACAGAGAGGAGCACAGGGCCTAGGCATGAAAATAGCTTTGAATGTGCAGCAGATTAGGCCGGGATTTGCATGCATAGGGAAAACATGTCGAAAGGACACTCCTTCACCGTTCGACTCCTTCTCGGCTTCTCAATCGATGCCGCTGGCTGGCTGCTGGGGCAACTTACGAAATTTCGTAAATAAATGCATGAGTCCTGGGGAATGCCACACAAGGCAATGTAATTGATACTCCCATCCCAGCACGCTTCCTGTCCTGGAGCCATTTTTCCCTCTATCCTAAGTCTATCTGGGTTGCAACTGGCAAAGTGCAAATAAGTGCGCCAAAGATCAAACAGAGTGTTTGCAGATACATTGTTAATATGAATATTTCTCGTTTGCTCCTTGCGAATTCAACATGAGAAATCCTACAGGGCAAAGCCATATTTGGTTTAAATAGAAGCCTGACTTTTAGACACATTTTTAAATGATTTTAAATCATTTCTCGCCTTTCCTAATCGGTTTTCTCCTTCTCAATTACAGGTACCACCTACACACAGCCGCAGAACATCAACGCCAAGTCACTGCAGAGGACGAAGCCCGCCGAGCGCCGAGAAGCCATCACCAGCAGCAGCACGAGCAGGAACAGCTGGCTAAGCATATCAGCCGAGTCCGAGGCAGACGCGGCAGTTGACCACCGCGGCAGTAGTGCTAAGCCGGGAAAATGCTCGAAGAACTGCCAGAAGGCCAAGGCCAAGTGGGCCAAGTGGCGCGGCCAGCTGAAGCCCCATCACCAGGCCCATCGGGCAGTGCTGCACAGGGAGGCCAAGCGGCGTCAGCGCCGCGAAACCGAGGAGGAGGACCTGGATGCGATATACACACCACCCAGCTCCAGTTCCAGCTTAAGCTCCAGCTCAACGAGCACCACCACCACAGCCGTGGCCACCACCGTGCAGGCCACCAGCTCAAGTTCCCTGGCCACCAGGAGGAGTTCTTACTTTAACGAAACCAAGGTGAAGCGGCCGCGCTCGACGCTCCACTTGGCACCCGAGGACCTGCAACCGAAGCCCAAGGAGCCGGTCATCATCATCGACGATGTGGAGGAGTTCGACAGCGGCACAAGCACTCGGGATCTCTTCGCGCGGAAGAGTCGCGAAGAGGCGGAGGACGACGAGGACGAGGGTCCGCTGGAGCCGCGGGTGCTGCCCCTACGGCCAGTGCCGCCGAATCCCTACGAGGCCGAGGAGATGTCCGTGGTCTATGCCGAGCAGCACTCCGAGATCAAGCTGATGTGCGAGGTGGACCTGGACATTGCCACCAGCATGTGGTACAAGAACGGCCAGGTGAGTTAGTTCCAAGCCGCCCCGAGAAGAGCCCTCTCGAGCTGTCAGGATCTGCCAACTTGTGCTGACTTTAATTGCATTCTTGGCCTTTTGCAGTCCCCTGCCCACTCCACTTCCCCTCCGCCATTCTCTCTATCTTTATTCTTTGTCTATCTGTCTGTCTGTCTGACTGCCTGACTGCTCCTGGCTTTATTTTTATTCCGGCCGAGACGTCTCGAGTGGCAGGGCTTTTGCTGCGGGTCCGGGTCTGTCTCGGAGTCTGTGTCTGTCTCGGTGTCTGGTCCTTTGTCGCTTAACTGCCGCATTATGCAAATAGGATAATCGTTATTATTTGATAGTTTCTGATGTCGCAAGTGCTGGCAGAGCTCATCTTTCGAGGGTCGCGCTTCTTGCTCGATTGCCTCATTATGCAGCAGCGACGAGGGCTTCTAATTACAACTTTTTGCTATGCCAGAACGCCCACCAGTCTGCTCCCGCTGATGGAAATTGTTAGCAACAAAGCGGGAAACAAAAAACAGAAAACAGCAGCCGGCAGCTAACATGAGCTGCAACTTCTTCCCCCGCCAGCCGAGCCGAAAGTTATTGAGTTGTAATTGCTAACGCTAACGGCTGTGAGCCCACTTCCCAGCAAAAACCTCTCGGCGTAATGCAATTATAACTGTTTGCAGAGTTTCGCCGAGTTGCAAGCATGTTTTGCCCACACTTTGTGCGAAAAAAGGAGTCGCACAGAGAGATAGTGCCCTGGAACGGCCCCTTACTCAGCCACACACTTTATGAACCTTCAATTTGGCTTTCCAAACCCCATCGGCCTCCGGTTGTGGGCAAATATGTCTGGGTTTGTGTGGGGGCCATAACCGAGGTGCACGCCACTCCAGCTCAGGTGTAAATACAACACGCTGCCAGGCCAAGTTGTTGATGGGCAAATAATAGTTGCAACTACCAGCAGCAATGCCACTTTGTGTACGTGCCAGAGCTATTTGTTGTGGATGTTGCTGCTGCTGCTCTTGTCTGTGGCAGGTAAGTGGCTGCTGTTGCTGCTGCACTTGCAACCTGCAACTAGCAACATGCAGTCGGTATCGAAAAGTGTTGCACTCTTGCGGCAACGCAGGCCAACATTGTTGGATCCGGAAACTGCGATTGTTTGCCTACTTGTTGTTATTTGCATTTGCATTCCGCTTTAGATTCCGTTTGAAGCCACTAAATTGCCTGTCAGCAGCTTGAACCCGGGATTGCCTGCACGTCGGCTATCCAATTGCATTCGCATCGAAAGTGGAAATGTCTCGCCACATACTGTCAAGTCCTGTGGATCTCCAGGGATCGTTGGGGTGTGCCTCAGCTTTCCATATTTTGTATTTTATAATACACGGAAAGGAAACTGTATGGGTCGTTAACAGAGCTGGTGATGTCAATACCAACAATGTGTCTTTCTTACCAATAGTTTTTGTGTACATTATTCTAACTGTTACTGTAGGGGTTGGGGTGTTATAGGTTATAGACAAGGAAATGTTAGGTAATGTGTTAGTTAGGTGGAAAGTCTATATGTGTTTAAGAGATCATCGTTTTAGGAAGGTCCATTAGTACTGTCTGTTTTCCTACTTTTTTCGATTAGTCCCAAATAAGTATGTAACTTACTCCGATTTATATAGAATGAATTTTCACTATTTTTCTCAAATTTATTGACCGAAATAACTGATATTTTCGACTAAGAAGTTTTCTATCGATTGATCCAGTAAGTGGATATGTTCTATCTATAATCCTCAGAAAAACTCCCTCGACGCAATCATTTAAGCTCGGTCGCCAAGGTTGGGCATACCTGATCCAGAGCTTTCTTCGCCGCGACTCATCCTCCGCCGCCACCTTGTCTTGTCTGGCAATTTGTTGGCTTTATAGTGCCATATTTTTGCGCCCGGCGACAATTGCCAGACATAAACCTTAACCCGGCAACAGAGTGAGCTGAAATAGGAGTTTTACGGTTGCAGCCGCCTTGTTGCACACTTTGTGGCGCTGCAAACTTATTTATGGGCCGGGGCTCAGGTTTAAGGTCAACAAACCCGCTCTTCCCGGCTGCGGGCTAACATAAATTTTATCCGGCGACGCCCGATAAGCCTCCATTAGTCAATTAGGGGCGAACTTAAGGCGCTCCATTAATAGACAAGTTGCTCTCCCCGAGGAAGGCCTTAATGCAACTGCAACGGAGAGCGTAAATCACATCAAGCCGGCAAATTAATCAGTCAGCCCCAGAGATCCCAAATGAAAATGAGCAACAATGCGGTGCCACTTAGTGGGAGTGAAAAGCGCGGCGGGAAAGCAGGGAAAGCGGGGCTTAAGTTGCTAACACGCCGCCTGCCTTGTACCTTTGACAACTTTATTGAGTTACTTACAATGTCGGCCCTGGTCGACTGCTGCTGCTGCTGCTCCTTCTGGCTCTGAGTGCTACAACGGCAAATAAAATCAACGCCACTGCAGCTGCAGCAGCAACATCCATCGCATCTCGGATCTGGGATCTCTGGCTGCCATTGCAGCGCATTTCCCAGCGGTGCAATTGTATTAGTTGTGTTAAAACAAAAGCCAGCCATGTGTAAGAGCAAAGAGGGATGGGATGAGCAGCATCCTGGAGGATGGGAGATAGGGCAACAGTAACGAGCAGGCTGCGGCAATTACAACAATGATGCGGCAACAATGTGTGTGCTAGTGTGTGGAGTGCGAATCGGAGACAGTAGAACGACCTGGGGATGCTCTTTTCCTTTTAAAGTTGTAGTAAAAGAAGCCATATGCAGAATTCAGAAGAAAATACAGCAATAAATATGAGAAAATGCGAACTGAAAAGTATCGTAAAAACAAACTATTAGAAACCAAATAGCAACTTCTAGAAGAAACCCAAGAGCAAGAGATAGACCTCGTAGCAACCTGCAACATACAAAAGAAACCCAGTGGCCACACATGAGGACTCGGGCAACCTGTAACCGAAGCAGGGCTTTAGGTTTCCTGGTGTGCGGAAATATATATATAGTTTGTGATTATCCCCAGTTGCGTTAAGCCCTCCCCGGCAATTGCACTCGGGCTTGACACAGCCTCCCTCCCACTAGAACTCTGCTCCAGTTGCAGCTCTCACTCCACTCGATGGCATTGCAACTGCGGCAATGACATGCGACAAGTGTTGCACTGACAGCTTGCAACATGAGCGACTTTTGTTGTACTTTCTAGAGCGTTGCACAATGCATTAGAGTCCCCGAGCGGGAACAACGGCTAAAGGAGTTCATCCCTGCCCTGCTCTGCCCCGTCCTGTCCTGCCCAGCCCCGGCTCCTGTGTCTGCCAGTGTGAGTGCCAAGGAATTTATTGTTGAATATTATCAAGAGGCTAATATATTTGCCGAAAGCAATTTCAAGTTAGCAGCTCCGAGTCGTCGCGGGGAATTGGGCGGCGGATGGCGCGACAGTCAGTGAGCAATGTTGGCTGACAAGATTTTTGCAATTCCAAGCAAGTGATAGATATAAGTAGCCATTTCTCCAGTCAGAAGGGAGTGCTCCTCGGCGGAGGCCCTTGAAGGAAATAAGCGTCTGTTTGGAATGGTCGGAGCTGAAGGAATGCCCTTCTTTTGGGAGAGGCATGAAGCTAATTGTCAGCGAACGTCAATGGAGAATGCACCCAGAAGGGGGCGTTTATTATATTAGCTTTGCTCTTCACATTCGCATTTTTATCGACTTTAACAGGGCTTTATGTTATTTCCTGTGTGTGCGCTGCGAGATAAATGAAATATTGAAAGGGTATAGTAACAGATTCAACAGAAAACACGGTGGCCCGAACGAGGCAAAAAATAGAATATTCATTTGCATTATTATGCACGCATTCAGATCGGTGGAAATGAACAACAGGGCTGTTGGGCAAAATTAAATGTAAATCGCGAATTGCCAAAAAGTTTGGCCAACAATGCAATTAGAAAATTACAAAACCCACCGCTGCCACTGACCACCTTTTGCAGCGGACCGATAACGTGGCCCCAAATTATGCAAAGTTATGCGTGCACGCCTTCAAATATTCAGCAATTTATGCGAATCGAGGCAGCTGACAACACACCGCACTCGCCGGGGCACAACAAAGGCGTCCGAATTCATAATTACCCCAAAAACGAGAGCGGCGGCAACAATGGCGCGTCGCGAAACAATCGAGCGTGTAATCCGGCGAACGCTCGTCGCTGTAAACAAGGATTTGCCACGCTCATTTAACGCTTTTGTCCGGCGGCCATGTTGCCAAACCAGGAAAAATCCAGGCCTCACACTCTCGCCCCGACCAGGTGCCAAAGGCCTGGACATGAGCCGGAGCTCTTGGCCCTCGAACTGCACTGGATCTGGCTCTGGCTCTGGCTCTGGCTGTGGATGTGAATGTGGATGTGGATGCCAAAAAGCCTCGGATCGCCATCGACCTCATAAATTTCCAGCTGAATGCCCCGCTGCACAGCCACGCAGAATCCAGAATCCAGTTTCCACTTGCCAGTTTGCCAGTTTGCCATTTTGCCAGTTGCCAGTCAAATGCGTCGCTGGTTAATAAATTTTCTGCAAATGGCCGCTGCGGCGACTGCGGCAAATGCGCGCCGGAAGTCGCCTCACGCACACACACATACACCGATTGGGGGGAGGAAGGGAGGGGTGAAATTCATATACGCATAAATATTTGCACTGCATTTGAAAAATATAAACGAAACGAATCGAAAAGAATCGTAAGCGGCGGGTCTAAACCGAAACAGAGAGAACTGAAAATGGCGAACGCACAAACGGAACCGGAAGTGCAGCATACAAATATTCTGTTTACATTTTTTGTTTCGCTTTGTATGCGCAGAGTCTCTATTTCCCGGCTTTTCCTATTTTTATTTCTCTATCAATATGGCCTTAGTTGTTTTGTCATGTTTTCCCTGAAGAGAACTTTTGGAAAACTGATAACCGCATATTGAATGATAGCATTTTCGGTTACATATGAAACTCTAGAAATTAATGTAAGGAAGCATTTGTAGAGTAGATTCAGTAATGTATAGAGAATGGTGAGGGTATTTCGCTGCTCCTCGGGCCAAAGCTCTCCTTAATCCGAGCCCAAAAGTTAATCTCTCTGCCTGCAAATGCAATTAAAATTGCGTTTCATTTATGGCCGCCTCCCCCGTCCGCTCTCTCCCACTCTTAGCCAGACATTTAATTGGCACTTAAACGCATTAAGCGTGCGAAACATTTCCACATAAATATGTGTGCCCGCTGTGGCATCTCCTTTTTTGGTTTTTTTTTTTTTTTTTTGCTTTTGTTGCACTCTTCATAATTTTTATTCCTGCCCTGCGGCCGAGGCATTTGAATGCGCACATAAATTCCCGTTTGCATTAAGCCCCGCGCAGACTGGCCAACAACTATTGGCAACAGTTTTAAGCCGCCGCCGCCGCCAGTTCATTGTTGCCACATTACCAGTGGATAACATGTGTGGGGCAGCCCCAGTCCTCATTTAATTGTCATTATTGCGCTTGTTTGATGCGAAATGTAATAAAATGCGCCAGCGAAGCCCAAGTGTAAATAAATGGATATGAAAACATTAAATGCAATTGTTTCACTCGGCGGCGGAGCATTGCATTTAACGCGGGAATTTATGGCCATTTAATGCGCTGCATTAAAAGTTTCAAAAGGCGCTTTGCATAATTCCGCGACGGGCATTAGTTTTAACGCCGCATCCTTGCCACTATCCTTAACGTTTGCTCTCTGCTCTCTCCCCTGCTTCCAGGTGGTGCACGCCATGGACCGCACCTCGCGCGTCACCGACTATCGCTTCATCAAGGAGGCCAACGGCGCCCTCACCATCACCAACGTGATGCTCGAGGATGACGGCAAGTGGCAGTGCGAGGCGGAGAACACGCGCCGCTACACGGAGAACGCCCGGCCAGTCAAGCTGGTCGTCCTGGGTGAGTATCCATTTTCACAGCAACGAGAGGGAGCTTATTCCTCCTCCTCGTTCTCGGCCGGGATCAGCCGCGCCTGTCACGACTTGGCCAACAGCTTAGACAAATATTAAAAAGGTCGTTTCATCTGCCAAATTAGCCCGGCCAGGGGACCGGGCCAACTGCGGAATGTGGCTCCTGGCGAAATGCTCGCTTTTATGACTTTGCCATCACTGAGAAAAAGAAAACAAGTTTCCGAAAAACAAAGCTATTAAAACTTTAGAACTTTAAGGGATTCGAATAGCTTCCTTTTTTAAACTTTAATCGAGAATTTGGGAACTTTAAAATATTTCTAAAATATTTTATTAAGATTATTTTACTTACTAAACTAGCTCTTTTTAATTTTACCTATATCTCACCCACTCTAGATCGCCCCAAGCCACCGTATTTGCTGATCGACTCACGGCGCCTGGACGCCAGCAATCTGTTTGTGCCCGTGAAGGAGAACTCCGAGCTGAACCTGGCCTGCGTCAGCGAGGGCGGCAATCCCCGACCCACGCTCACCTGGGAGGTGCTGCTCAGCCCCGGCGTGGACAGGCATGCCCAGAAGGTGTCCGCCGAGGTGCTGGAGCTGGAGGAGATCAAGGGCGAGAAGGTAAGCCGGCTGGATGTAATCCATTGAACCCGCTGAGTGACAAGTGGCGAGCTTTCCCAAATGGAGCTCCGAATGAAGATGAGCAAACCGCAGCCGGCCGGCAAACACATTAGGTGCGGCTCCCTCTCCTCGGGGGCTCAAACAACGGATCTTCCGGACTGCTGACTTGGCGGCCAAGTGGGTGGTGGTGGCGGCCGGTCGGTGTTTGCGGTTGTGCCAAAATTTGTTTGTCTTGCACTCGAGCATAATGAAAAGCAGACATTTCGGTCGAGCAATGCACTCCCTCCGCCCACTTGCCACTCACTGCCACCTGTCAGGCGCACACACCCCACCCCACACACAGACGGGTGTGTGTGTGTGTAAGTGTCTGGGGTGTTTGTCGCTTGGACCCTAAATGCCACAAATTTGCGTGTTCGGCTGGTCACAGGCCCAGGCATGGCCACCCACCGACCGCCCCGGATGATTGATTGAAAACTGTGCCAACAAAATTTCCATGCAAAAGCCACAGCGGGTGGCAGGAGCGCTAGGTGGGCGGCGTTGTGGGTGGCAGTGCCCTTGCCCTTGGACTTTAATTTAAATTAATGATGTCGCGCTGATAACAGGCCTGACTAATTGGCTGCCCACACCGCCCACGAGCTCCGTGGAAAACTGAAGAACGGAAAATGGAAATCCCCCTGTCATTTGGCCCAATTTGCCAGTGTTTAGCATCAAATTGAAATGGAATTTTTTAGCGAACCGCCTCCCTTTCTCTCTTCTTTAGGTGGACAAGAACGGCTACAAAATCAACAGTGGGGCCAAGAGCGAGGCGAGGTTGCCGGCGGTGTACAGAGCCCACCACAACGCCCGGATCCTGTGCGTCATGGAGCACCCCACGCTGAAGATTCGGCAGAATGCCTCGCTCCTCCTGGATGTGCAATGTAAGTTTTCCAGAAAACTAGAAAATACATATCCTTGGCAACATATTCAAGATAAAAGTCCGCCTAAGCCCAGATAAAGCTTTGGTTTGCTACCTATCTAAATATTTATGATTTCATGATTTATAACACGTTTTCCCTTCCAAACTCTTTTAAGTTTGATTCCCCCATCACATTTTCAATTATTTACCAAGTCCAACCTGTGTGACTTTGCACAACAAATGTCAAATAAATGTCAGTGAGCCATCACCAGGCTCTCGGCCCACAAAAACTTTTAATAAAAGCCAAACACAGTGTGAATATCCCACCTTGTTTAATTACCTCAGGAGTACACGGCCGAAAACGAGAGTGGAATGGTTGAAATAAAAGTGAAAACCAAAAAGTAAATGTTGATTGAAAAGTTAAATTGCCAAAGTTAACACGGCAGCAGCATCCAGAGAACGGGTCAGAGTCGGGCCGAGAGCACAAAAAAAACGGCGTCAGAAAATTATTATGCAGCTGCAACGAACAAAGTCAGCGGAATAAATGAAAGCAAAGGTGAAATTATATTAATTGAAAGTGTGAGCGAATAAAAAAAAGCGGAGAAAGAAAAATATAATCAAGGCGGTGCAATGAAACCCTGCGACGCGACGGCGAGGACCTGGCCCAGATGAACATAATAAGGGCGACAGTTGAGAAAAGGACGCCTACGTACAATTGGAATGCAAGGATAAAGGAGTCGGGGAATGGCAGGGAAGGGAGAAAAGTCGAAAGCCGAGAGGATTGCTGGGCTCTCAATTAGCTTAAAGTTAAGCAGGTGTCAGAGTTCAACTGCGAGAATTTCCATGGCAATAAGAGCAGAGGGAATGGGTATCCGATTTTAATAAAAATAAATACATAGGATTCTTAAACTGGGAATGAATGCAGATTTGAATATGTAGGGGGAGTATATTTCGTTATTTGCCACATTAAAGTCACTTACCTAGTGCTCTGAATCCTTAACCGGAAATTAATGCAAATCTGACTAAAAAACAATAAATTACTGGGAAAAGTTTCATTTCTGTTCCTATAGCAAGGTCAGAAGGCCCTGCACTCACCTAGTGTCCCTCTGATTAGTCCAAATCGACCACCTTTCACTGCCATTGATTGCTTAGTGACTCTCATCCGCCTCATCCATCAACTGCCAATTGAGAATACTAGAGCCGCACTAGCGATGAAATCACTTCAAAGGAGACCGGTGCTAGTGCTGTCCATAGGCAGGGGCATGCATAGCCAGAAGCCACAACAAAGCTGGGAAATAAAGATTGGAATCCTGGCGGGCCCGCAAGAGTGACGCAACCGGAAGTGGAGGTGGCGCAACTGGAGGCGGAGTGAAATTCACTGACGGGGGATCGGTCGATGAGGCGAGGCGACAATTGGAAGACTAGCACTAATTGGCAGCCAAATGCCGCACACACGTTCCGGCCGCCGGGTCCTGGCGGAGGGTCTCAATCAGCGCCTGGACTAGGATCAGGGGATGTACCGCAGTTATTTGCTTTATTAATGCCCGTGAAGCCGCATAATGCCATGACAAATGCCCAGGTAGTGGAGAGCCCATGAAAATGATTGGAAAATATAGAAAAGCCGTGCGGGGATTTGCATGGCAGAGAGTCCTGCCACGAGTCCTGTGTGCTGTGTGTCTGGGTTTGTGTGGGCTTTGGCCAGGCATGAAAATTGCAAAAACCGCAATAACAACAGCACAAGGCCTCACACAACAACCGCATCGTTTTCCGGGTTCAACAAAAGGAGGAACAAGTTCGTCCTGATTCGTCCCGTTTTTCCTTTTATTATTCCCGCTCCCCGCCCTGTGCTCCCCTTGTATAAATTAAAAAGCACACACATGAAAGCATTTGCCGGGCCATAGACATTGTATCCTGCACATCCGTATCCTTATCTGTATCTGTAATGGTGACTGCGTTTAATTTGCGCATTTTTATGCAGACAGTTGACAGACAAATCAAGGACAGGGCATCGGGAGCAGCTCGGCAATTCAAGCTGCAGCAATTCAAAGGAAAACATTTGGGTTTCCATTTAAATTAGGGCTTTTTATGGCCGAGATTTGCTTTTAATTTGAGCAATTTCCACAGATGCCAATATGAATATTTAAGGGCGGACAACCGATTGTTTCAAATACATATTTTCCGCAATAATTGATTGAAGTCCGAGCGAAAACAATCCGGGCACAAGTTAAACAATTTTCCAGCCTTTGTGCCCCCTTTTAGTATTTTTACACACACCGTGTGTGCCCCTGCCCATAAGGGACACTCGACAGGAAAATGGCCAGGAATCGAGGCTTCATGGAATAGTTGGGCAAACAACCGACAAACAAATTTCATTTGTCCCCTGGCATCTGCAGACCCATTCCGGGCACCTAATCAAATTGTATTAGTTACAAAGGGCCACAAAAGCGAGTGATGCGCCGAAAAATTGAAAGGATTGAAATGAATGCAGGCCCATTTGGGCAGCATATTCTTCCTGGTCCATCTGGTCAGGCCCAGTGCCGGCCAAATGGCCAGCACTAATTAAAAAACATTTGATTTATGCCTATGAATATGCATTGAATAGGAGAGAGCACATGTCTGGCCGGGCGACCAGTTGGCTTCGCCACATCAAAGGGGGCAGTCCGGCCGGACGTTCCCATTATTTACATTTACATTTAGATATACATTTGTCGATGGCTTTTTGACATGTACTGAATGGCTTTCTGATTGGCAGTTTGGGATTGAAATCGGACTTGCAACTCGAAACGTATATCGAATTACTTTCGAACAAAACGAAATGAGATGTGCCACGGCGGGCTCCGGCAATAAAGAATAACGAACATGGATGGCGCAGTATTTGGACATGACATGGCGGCATCAATGCCGCTAACTAACTGAAGTTTTGTTGAAAACGCTGATTTGAGACCGGAACTAATTGGCATGTGGCACTGGTAATTGAATGCTGTCAGGTTGAACTGCACATTTAATTAATCAGTTGCCGGTTTGGTGTCAATTAGGCAAGAAACAAGCGTGTTATAAATCATTAATTTGCATCAGAGATATAAGAATGTATTATTGAGCTGCCTAAAAGTATGCAGCCCACTTTATATTACACTTTAGGGGATTCTCCTTTCCTTTTCCCACTATAAACCGAAAGTCATCAAGCAATTTTTAATCCAATCACCTCAGAGTGACAATTTACGCATTCTTATTTACCTTTCGCCTGTCCAGGACAGACGGGCCCACCACTCACCGCCTAACATTTGCATTTAGTTGAATTATAAAACTTTCTCCTTCTTGCCACGAGTTTGTACCCCATCTTCTTTTTTGAGTAATTTTTTAATTAAAAAACTATTTTGTTGATGTTGCCACCGTCTCCAGTGGAGATAGTGCCGAAAATCTGCAGCCAAAGCCAAGCCGAAATAACCATCTGTCCCCGTTGCAGACACGCCCTCCTTCGCCATCTCGCGCACACCTGGCTTCGGTTATCCGCTCCGCGAGGGCATCGAAGTTAGCCTCAAGTGCGACGTCGACTCGAATCCCCCGAGTACTCCGCGCTGGCAGAAGGACGATGGTGACACGCCGGTAAGTCTGTTCTTAAAATTCACACCAAAAATAATAGTATTTTATATTTTTAGTGACTATATAAATGCAGATTACCTATCCGAATGAATACATTTTTTATAAATTTCTATTTAGTTTTTCCTATATTTTACACTAGGGTCTTTGAATCCTTTAAAAAGGTGTCTAGAAGTATGCAATACTTTTAAAACTCAATGTAGCACTCTTTTTGACACCTTTTCAAGTGTTTTTAAAACCCTAAAGAATTCGGTAGTTTCTTTTTTTTTCTCTCTGTGTGTGAAAAACTCCGAAAAGTGGAGAAAATCGTGGGGGACTCGTACGTAGGCCAGCGCCATCGGCGGAGCTCGGCCTTTTGTGTGATTTTCGGTTGAGGAGCAAGTTTTAAATGGATTTTCGTGCAGTTGTCGCTACCTCGAGAAGTTCGGCTAAGGGAAAACTTGGCCGAAACTATTTGCCTTGCCTTAATTACCAAAAATTGTTTACGCATAACGAGCCAAACTCATTTTCCATTCCTTTCTCTCTATGTGTGTGTGTGTGTATTTATTTTTTCCCTCAAAGTGTCAGCACTCTTTCTGATTTGCCAATTTTCCCGATCATTGCAGGTGCCACAAACGGGCGACGGCTTCCTGAACTTCACCTCGATACGGCGCGAGCACTCCGGCTGGTACAAGTGCACGTCCCGGCACCTCAACTTCCAGTACTCGTCGATTGGCTATTACCTCAGCGTGCGATGTGAGTATGAGCAAGAGCATGGGTGTATTCCGGCCCGAACCATTCTACTATCAGACACCCGTAAATTAGGCCGCGTATGCGTGAAATTGCCTCAAAAATGGCGCGTGATAATATTTTGGCCATTAGTTTGCGCCTGTAAAATTACTTGTTATAACCCCCGTTCGGCAGAAGGCAAAAAGAAAAAATCGGCGAACATTTTACGACACTCGCACGTGGCGCTGAGGACAATATTCGGTGTGATTTTTCGGGGATGTTCTTCGCGCTGTCAGAGGCGCCTTGTGGCGCCACCCTGCTGCCGTATGCAAAATGTGGCAAATTTCATTGGCACTGACAGTGGCTGAGAGCTTGTCAACCCCCTGTCTATGCCCCATCCTTGCCTGTCCTTGCCTCTAGTATTTATGCTTACGCGCCATTTTGCTGTCAATATTTTCTCGTTTGCGGGCTGGGATATTCGGCATTTTATGCGCCCAATGCGTGTTAATGCTTGTAAATATTTTTATTGAATTTTCCCCGCCCTCTCCCACTTTGTGTGTGCAAATACGCCCAAGAGCACGGCACCAGCAGCGAAAATCAAATTATATAGCTCGCCAAAACTCATTTGCAGCCTCATTAGGTGGCAAGTGCAATCGCAGGAGGAGGGAAGGAAGAACGGGATCAAATACTCGCGGAATGCACTGCCACGCCCCGAAATCCATCTTCGTTCCCACCCCGCACAATCCGTCATCAATCATGGCGGGAAGAGAGAGAACCCAACTAGACAAAACGAAAAAAATGAAATAAAATATTGGTAATAACAACTTGACAAAGTGTTGCCACTTTTTATGCCGACGCAGGGATCAGGAGGACGCTCCCCGGGGGGTCCCCGGGGAGGGATTTTTCCATTTCGGCACTCCTGACAGCCGCCTGTCGATGCTCATTATGGGGAAAACAAATGCTTTATTAATAAAAACAGAAAGGAGAAAAAAAACAAAGCCGACGCTGAGAGCCCGAAGAGGCCAAGAAGTGACGGAGGCATCGCAGGCCCCATCGACATTATCGATGATTGATGGGGGCCGCAAGGAGGAAACTTTTCCTCCGCCGGATTTTCCGATTTTCCAGCGAAATCTAATTGTGAGAGACGCTGAGCTGGCAACATGTTAAGCACATAAATCAATTTGTAAAACGTTTTATCGAACTCGGGAGCAAACTGCCGAAATGGCAAGTCCAACTGGCAACAGTCGGCATCCGAACCCCATTTATGACAACAGGCGGCGTCGGCGGCGAGGACCTTCCTTCCACATGTGCGGGGGAAATTTGGGGAAATACCTATAAGATATAGTAGAGGGAAGGACACGACTCGCCTGTCATAAACTATAAAACAGCTGCCCGACCCATGATAAATGGCGGCTGGCAAATACTTTTGAGCCAAACCGGCGAAAATTTAAGACTCCCAGAGAGATAGAAGTCGAAAAAAAACTGATAAATCGCATTTGAGCTCCGGCAAGGATAAGAGGGAGAAGGAGCACCACCCGAAATCCCAGACAGACGTTTGAATGCCGGCTTAATTGCTGACGATATGTTTCCTCCTCCGAATCGCTCCGCCATTGAGCTGGAAAATGGAAGCGAATGCCACCAGGTAGCAGGAGCAGACGAAGGGAAAACTTTGCTGTTGACAACAAACGAGGACACCGCTGACAAACTGCAATGAAAAAGCAATCAGCGATGCCCAGCCAAAAGCTACAAGAAAAGCGGCGGAGGTGGCACATGGCGGCCAACAAAAGTAGGCAATTTGACGCAGTTGCTCAAAGTTTTCTGCGCCGGCCACTTTTGCGTGATTGAATCGCCCGTCGGAAGGCAGGACTCAGGACTCGGGACGCAGGACACACGACACGGCGAGCTTGTTAAAACGTCGCTAATTTGACACGTACGTCAACAGGAGCGGCGAGCGTGACGTGATGGCCGGGCTTGGGAATCCAGGCGGATCCTGGTCCAAAGTGGGCCAGGCCCCGACCCCAGCTAAGGGCCCGCTCAGGTACACTCCAAGTATAAGCCCGGCCATGGGCCAAAGTTCTGTTTGCCAGCCTCATTAATGAGTTAAAGTTCTCATTGAGGCTAATTAATGTTGAGTGGCCTGCACGGCGTTCGGGCCAACAATGTGCAATTAGTGAAAGTTTGCCAAGTCAAGCCAAGGGGAGTTCAGCAGGTCCTTCAAAAAGTTCATATATGGTTTGATTTGTGCCAGAAAGTGCGGTTTGGGTTGTTGGCAAGACTTTGACTTACTGGAAATAGTAACTAAACAAAGAAAAGTGGTTATATTTTGAAAAGGAAAGTAGAAAACGATGGGAGATTTACGTTCTTTAAGTGAAATATGATCACAGAGATTTCCTGGGCTAATTCCCAGTCCCAGGAAGGTGATAAAACGCCATCCGATCCTCCAGAGATGCCTTTGCGGTTAACCCTCCTGCCGGAGGAATCCATGTGCAAATTGCATTCGCCTCGCCCTGAACTAATTTGGGCAACCAACTGTCGTGAAAATGCATTCCACCACCAAGAAACCACCGGCAAAAGGACTCTGCCACATGGCCAACCACTTCGCTCGCTCAGGAGGAGAAAACAAACGGAAAGCACAAACGACGACAACGACGAGGAGTTCCTCTGGGAAAAGGACACTCGAGCTGGGCTAAAGGCGAATTACGAATTACAATAAAATTTAATTCTACACGCTATCGTAAGCATTTTCATTGCGAGCCATTTCTTACGCCGATTGGCAGGGTCCTTGTCCTGGTTGGGGGCCCCTGTTATCCATTATCCTTTGTCATGCTGGTTATCGCGGTTTAACTTTATTGTTTATTCCGCCCAACCCCCCAACGAACCCTCATGTCCCATGTCCCATGTCCCATGGCCCAGGTCCCATGTCCTGCTCCTTGTCCTTGTCCTTTGGCCGAGCTAAATTTCTGTGTTTATCGGCGCGCACGATTATTAGTTTTTTTGTTTGCTGCCTTTGTTTTTATAGCCGGCGATTATGTTTTCGGTGTGTGGTGTGTGTTTGTGTGTGTGGAGGGTCCGAGGGTCGGCAAAGATTTTCAATAAAATTTTATTTGTTGTTGCCTCAAATGAAACGCAAAACTCATTTCGGGCCCCATGCTTTTGGGCAACTTAAAGAAATATTAAAAACTCATTGCCGACAAATGTCCTTGAGTAAAGCATTTTTTATGGCCGCAAACTTTCGACGGCATAAACGTAAATTTGTGGAGAGAGATTATCTTTTATGGATACGTATCTCGGGCGGTATCTCCGGTATGAGCTCACTCGGGATAATTTCCATAGCCATCCATGGCATCCAATCATCGAGTGTTCTCCCCGGGAATCCCCCTTCACTGCATCCACTGCAATCATCTTCAATTTCAACTCATTGCAAATTAATCGCGTGTTCGTTCGCTGAAAGTCTTGAAAAATCTCAGCGCAGCGGGGGGAAAAATTAAAATTTATAACCGAGCCAAGCACAAATGCAATCACAGCCAGCCAAGTTTACTGCTGCTCGCAGCTTCCGCTGGCTGTTTATGCAGCCTGTAAGTTAAGCTGATTGTTGCCTGCCCCACTCTGATGATGCTTCTTGCCGCCTTGATGATGATGTTGCATCTCGTCGGCCTCCTTCATATTCATGACTAACTATGCAGATGGAGACGGACGAAGACGGAGACTGAGAGCAGGAGGAGCTGAAAAAAATGGAAATTAATCCCGTGGTGCGGAGCAGGAGTGCTAATGAAAATTGCAAAGCAAAAAAGAGTGCTGAAGGATACCCTTTCTATCGGAACTTAATGTTTTACCTTCGGCACTTAACCCCCTAAAAAACGCCGAGTATCGAGAGTGAAACTCTCCCAGCTATTGTTGAAGGATTTATGGATCGCACTCACCCGTCATATTCACACTCCTTCGGGCAGGGGAAGATGTGTCGACACATTGACGGGGACTCGATACACTCCGTTAGGGTTCGGGTTCGGGTGCGGCCCTGAAACTGGCAGGACTCTCGGCTGCTGATGATGATGCCCCATGATTAATGATTGGTGGCGGGAATCGAGCTCGCTCGCTGGCTCTTCAGTCAGTCTCCCCGGCATATTGATTCGGCTTGTTTGCATTACTATTTGCTGTTTGCCCTTCACATTTGCCGCTGTTATGAGTTGGGATTTATTCGAGTGTGCCCCGGCCCGATGCCAAGATATGGCACAAGAATCACTTTCTCCCCTTCGGCAGGCCTTTCTTTGCTTCGCTCTCAATCTTCTTCGGTGTCGCCATATGGGCGGTACTCGATGCCCATTTGTTTGCCTTTGTTTATTTGTTTTCTCCTTGGTTTTCCCCCAGGGTGGGCGGACACTTTTATGAATGGCCATTGAGTAAAATATGCGTGAAACAAGTGCTGGAAATTATGAATGTGTGTGGAAAACTTGGGAAAATATTGAAGGAGTTTGTTTTCGGGGGCAGCAAAGAATCGATATCTCACTCTAGTCTAAGGATACAGCTTCATAAACTTCGCTTGACAATCTGGTGCCAAGTATTTACACAATAAGAATGTAATGTCAGTTGTATTTCAATGATGAAATAAAAATAAATATAAGAAAAAAATATAAATATCACGAACTTGAACAGGACTAGGATACAATATCTCTTCTTCTTTATAAACTCTAGATTTAAATTTCCTTCTTAGCTCAAAATCCCACGTAATTTGATCGAAATTCGAAACCGGAATGGGCTCGTTAACTTCATAATTTAAACTGTACGAGACTGAAGAGATTAATGTCAAATTTTCGGTGATATTTCCTCTCTCTGTAGAGACTTTCAGACACTTCCCTTATCGCATCGCCTCAAGACACGCCGCCGGCTTTTGGCCAATGACAAATGTCTGTCAGTTGGGCCGGGACAAGCTGAGCTCATTAGACATTTTCGCCAAGAGTCCCCGCGACTGCGAGGGCTCTTCTTTCTGTCAAAGCTGCACTAGAGCACTCCCTGTACTCCACTCCACTCCACTCCACTCCGCACCCCCTGCTGGCCATTGAAGTTGTCAATTTGAGCGACGCCGCCTTTGTCCGCCTTTGTGTCGGGCAATAAAAAATTTTATAACTACGTGATTTTGACTAAGTAACACGCCCCGTTCGCCGAGGGGAGGACTTTTGCTATTGTCAGCAATAAAACCCGGGCCGAGGGGTGTCCTCCGGCTGATTGACATGCGACGAAGGGTCTCTGAGGCGAAAGGAGCTTACAATTAATTGTAGCTGGAGAGCAACGTGGTCTCTCTTTATGGCAACCCAATCCCCTCGCAAATCTCGGCTGCGCGCTACTTCGGGGGTTTCCCTTCGATTAAAGTTGCCAGCGGGCCCCCGGTAATTAGTAGTTTCTGTTAATTGTGCGGCTCACTTTTGGGTCTGCTAATTTGATGGTCGCCTCGAGGAGTCCAAGCAGCAATTCGAGGTGATTCTGAGGCTTTTTCCCACCCACACTTGCATCCTTTGTGGGGCTTACAGCTTACAGCTCTTGGGTTTTTCTTTTTGTCTCCCAGGCAGGTCGCCACTTGGCAACTTATTGTTACGATATCCGGCCGCAGACAAAAGACGCAGACCTGGCCGGAGGCGGGCCGCATACTTTTAGGCACATGTCAGGGCAAATTGTTATTTATACCGTAATATGAACGGCGCCATAAAGTATGCCGCACAAAGGACGCGCTGAAATTTAAAGCCAGAGCCTGGCAAGGCAAGTGGAAAATATGCGCCTCGTCCTTGCTTCTGCTCCGGCCTGCTGCCTGCTGCCTGCTCCGAAATTAGAATGAAGCATCGTTATGGGCTCTTCCCGCCCCCGGAAACGACCATAAAATATATGTATTTATGAATTTTGCGGCGAGGAGAAGATTGCAGCTCGGGCAATTTTCCAGCTAGCTGAGCAGCGATTTTCACTTTTAGTTGGCATCAAAACGGAAGTGACAACTCATTGCGGAGTGACTCAGGTGTTCCCGTCGCGTCAGCAATTTGTTGCTGCCTCTGTCATTGAAATATTGTCACATTTGACAATTGACAACAGAGCCGGAGATTGGCACAGGAAGAAAAATTCGACTGAGGCTGTACCTTGGGTGTATCCAAGATGAGCTTGAGCTTTAAAGTATTCCCCTTCGCTTCCAGTGCAGGGGCCACATGTGGCCTGGAGCTTGCAGCTTTAACTCACCTCTGTACTCTGTGTCTTTTGTGTCTTTGCAGACGATTCGGTGGATGTGACCTCGGAGCCGGATGATCAGGATGTTTCCGTGGCAGCTGCCTCGCACAATCCCAACAAGGGGCAGCTGGAAGTGCAGCTGGGCGGAGCGGTGACTCTGCAGTGTCCGCAAGGTAAGCCAACCCAACCCCGTTGCTAACCTCCTCCGACTCCCCGACTCTCTCGACTTCCCGCTGGCCAAAAACTTCAAAGGAAACGGGCTTTCGGGCATTCGTGGCCCATTTAGAATGACAAATGCGTCTGGGCTGTAATTACATTTTACATTTTACTTTCGTTCGATCGAAACGAGCCGCGGTCGTGGCCTTTTGGGCGCCTCTTCATTAATTAGCGCAATTGGAAATTAATTATGCGTGCAATTTACTCTGCTCACTTTTGGCCAAATACGAAAATAGACAAAGTGCTCGACCGGCGACGCATCAATTAAAGAAATTAAAACTTGCGTGCCGAGTGCCGCGTCTCTCGCGACCTCCCGGGAAGTCAATTAATTAAATTATGCAATGGCTTTCATGTCTCCCTCCCTCGTTTTAGGCTCTCTGGGCTGCTGGTCGCACTTGGACCCCATTTCGGCCCGATTGCGTGGCCTTGGCTACGGCAGCAGCCAGCCCACCGGGCAGTTCTCGCTCAAGGACGTCATGTACCAGGACGCGGGCATGTACAAGTGCGTGGGCCAGTCGCCGGCCAACAAGAAGAAGCTGGAGGTCCTGCAAAGCCTCACGGTGTCAGTGAAGGGTGAGTTTACAAGATTTCTTAGCTTGATGTCCCAAATTTTAATGGGTTCCTTTAATATTTGTTATCCTAGCTAGACAAATTTAAATTTATATATAAGATATTGTACTGGTCACTTGTGGTTTTTATAGCTTAAAGATGGTCACACTTCCATCTCTTGGTCACACTTTTCCTAGACTTACTTCTCTTGCTCAAACTAAGCTTCGGATTGTTTAATCCCCTAGTGACCCGGCATCCCAATCAATGGAATGAACCTGCAACACCTTGGAGCAGTGAACTCCCGCAAATTGGGTGTGGCCCAGTTTTGGATGACTTTTCGGTGGGCGGGCGATGGGCGGCTCTTCCGAATGGATGGCAACTCAGGTGACAGCGAGGAGTTAAAAACATTAAAAACTTTGACAGCAGTTTCGGGACACGGCAGAGCCAAGGAAAACAAATGAAAAGTTTTATTTTCTTGCTGTCAGAAGTTCGACATTTTACTTTGCATGTGATTTTCCCCAACGATTTCGCTTCTTTTTTCACCTCTGCTCCCCGTCGCTCGGTTTTTGTGCGCTTTTATAGTCTGGCTTATCGCCCGTTCCTTGTCGCATTGACACTTGTCAAAATCTTTGCCTGGGCGTGTGGAAAACGACGCATGATTGATGACATTGCAAAAGGCAATTCCAATCAGCTGGCTTCCCCTGTCACTGTCTCTGTCCCCTGCCAGAGTATACGACAAGTGCAAGGGAATTTGAAAGAAAAATTGGAAATCATGCTGCCGGAAATTAAGGAAAATGCGTTAGCTTTGACTTCACATCATCTTCGGCTTCGGCTTCACCTTCAGCACGGGCCCCTGCCCCTTGCTGTTCTCCAGCGCATTAAGTTGTCTTGAGGCGAAAGCCAAGTGGACATTGAGACAATAAAACTTGCCAAGTGGTCGAGCGGAGAGAGAGATCGAGGGGTGACTGGTGCTGCCAGGACCAGAGGATGAAGATGAGAGCGAGGACCTGGCCCGGGCTTACCCTCGAGTGCAATCCAAACATGAAGAGCTCAGCTCACACTGTGGCTCCCCGGATCTCCGGACAAGCCAAGCCAAGCTAAGCAATCAAACAAAGTCCTTCTCGGGAGCGAAGGAGTGGGTGGCCCTACCCGAGTGTGGGGCTGTGTTGTACACGAAATGGAGACACTTATAATGCTCCCGCATGCAATTTCAAGGTAAGACAGTTTGTCATTAAAACTGCGAAATTGAGTGCTAGATAAACAAAATACGAAAGCAGCCAAGGAAGTGGAAATTCAGCAAGGGTAGCTGGGAGGAGGGTGCCACAAGCGTGGCTGCTAACACTTAAGGCAAATAAACAAGGACTCTACCAGCGGATGGGTTTAGATGGGGTAAGCTGGGTTTAGCTGACAGGGGGAAGCGTGAAATAGTCATATTTATCAAGTGCCAGACGGCAAAAGGATTCCCAGGCTTCCCAGGCTTCCCAGTCAAAGACGACAGGATAACGGAGGAGCAGAATGGGACGCTCAGGAAAAAAGAAGTAAAAGAGAGATGGGACAGCCATACAATAGATTAAATTCACAGCCCGGTGGCAAAGGAGTTGGGACTCTTTAGTTACTTCCACTATTTGTGTTTGCTTCTAAAATTAAACAAAATACAAAGAGCGACTCGGAAAAAGTTTCCCACGCTGCTGTCTGCAAAGTTTCGCCCAGAGAATCGAGCTCCGAGAAGACGATAAAGAAAAAAGCTGGAGAGCAGGGATGCGCTTCATCCAATAACGACAGCAACTGCCTTGTAATCGCTCCTCAAACAGGCAGCTCATCGCTTATACCTAGCCATAATTACCAAGTCAAATGGCAGGGGGCCAGAAAGCGATGACAAAGGGATTATTAGCAGTGGCCTCAATCATTTGCTTCGCTGACATTTTTGATTAGTCCGAGGCCGAGATGAAAGCAGGTCTTCATTATGCATATGAAAGATTCCCCCTCCCCCGCCTGTTCTGGCTCCTTTCGCCTAATGAAGTCGTGACTTGAAATTGCAGTCTGTGTTGCCGTTACGCTTCGTTTGGGGCCTGGTGGGCGGCCCTTGGTGGGTGGAAATTATGCAACAAATAAGGAGGGAGGCTGCAGCACCTACTTGCATATGCAGCTGCTTGAGGGGCGGGCTGCGAATAAAATAAATGTGCATATGAATTTTGAAGAAAGCCAAAAGGATTCGCGGCGGCCCCAATGCAAAGTGCACTTACTTACAAGGATCCCGGGTATCCCTGTGCGCGTGTGTGGGTGCGCCCAAATTTATGCTTGTGTTAAAGTTTAGTGCGTGTGCTGGGCAAAAAGTTTTGCAGCAGGAACTTGAGCAACAGCAGCTGCAAAAATGTTCAGCACTCACACAAATTAAATAACAATTTTCTCTCACAATTTCGCCACTTTTTGTATTCTTTTTCCTTCGGTTTCTTTTTGCCCCCGTTCGCTGTCGTTAACTTTATGTGGGCGTTTTCTTGTTGACAGTGTGTGTGCGGGTGTGCTGGTGTGCTGGTGTCCTGGCGCACTGGTGTGTGTTTGGTGGGCGTAGGGGCGTGTCAAGCTCTGCATATGTTAACTGGCAGTTGGCAAAAGTAGCTCAGTAGTAGACTTTGCCTTCTTGCCAGCGCTTTTTGTTCCTGCCATGCATTGCAATTTTATGTAATTTAAACAAATGCAGCGAAAAGTTGCCCAAGTGCCTGCAATTCCCTTTTTGCGCGGCTTCAAAGTGCATTTTAATGAAGATTGCCACTGGACGTTTTGAAAATTAAATATTAAATGATCTTTAAGGGGGAAATCTGAAATCTGCAGGCTCCAACTTGATTGTTGCATAACTTTTAAGGCTGTTCTAGCTGATATAAGTGGTAATTCACCTATATTAAATCATATTCAAGACTAGTTGCCAATGCAAAGGCACTTAACCACCTACTGCCGAGTTTCCTTCCACCACTTGGCACCTCCGTGTATCCCCTGTTGAAGGGGCTTCCCTTTTGGCAATGCCAAACTCCCCGCCTAATGATTACTTGCGGAATTTTCATTACAATCTAAGGAAAAGGAGCTGGAAATCAAAAACCAGGAACCCTGAGAGCCGGCAAAGTACAATAAGAGCCGGAGTCCTGTTGTTCGGCCTGTTTTAATAAAAGCTTCTCCACGCATATTCCACGCTTAATTTAGAACGAGCAACGTAGCCCCCCGACTCCAAAGCAACTCCCCTCAAGCGATACGGGAACATAAATATTGCTTTATGCGCTGGCACACTCGAATTTCCCAACCTACGCCCACCCCCCTGCGAGTTTTCCACCCTGGCCACTCCGTTCTTGGCCCTGTTTTATGCATGCTAATTTGTAATATGCATGTTCGCCGCCGCCGCGCTTTTGATCAACGTATGGAGAAGGAAATATTTTCGCATTTTTTCATTTTCCATGCGTAATTTTTCTTCTTGGCAAATTTGCTTTTGGAATTTGGCGCGTTTGCCTGCAAATATGGCTTTGTTTCTACTCATTAGGTCGCAGTTCTGAGTTTCTCTTTTATTTTGTTGAGGGTTCCATTTCATAAAATATGCGGAAGAATTTTTTCAGCGCCCCCCTTCTATGCTTTTCATTTGTGCCTCATTTAAATGGCAATTTATTGCGCCCGGCGACAAGGCTTTAAACTCGGCAAGGAATTTTCGCAGCAGCTGCGTCAAATTGCATGTTAAATGCCTCGCAACTCCGCCCGAAAGCGATCTTGAGCCCTAGATAAACGTTTTCGAATCGGACTTGCCGAGGGTTGTTCCCCTCACTCGCAAAAAATACATTGAAATGAAAATTAAACCCACTGTCGAGACTTCAAAGTCTTTCTTTATGGCATTTTCCAAAAACGAAAGCCCAAGGGAGTCTCTGGTAGATTGGTAAATAGTTTAACCACCGACCGGGGGTTATAGGCAGACGGGCCCAAAGATATGGTACTTTGAAGTATGAATTTGGGATTTGGGAATAATAATTTGATTCCAGTTCGGCACTCGCTTCGATTTACGATTGATTTGCTGGCAAATATTCGAAGGCACCCCTGCCTAATTACCAGCCCAAAAAGGATGTGCAGTTGCAAAAGTAATTTCTCGGGGAGATAGAGAGACTCAAAGAAAAACATTTCGTCGAAAGCAATGCCAAAACTTTGGCCACTCTCTGCTAACTGTATCCTGGCTGGTCCTTGCAGCGTTGTCAACAGTTTTGTGTCGTCCTTTCGTCCTCTATTTGTCGGTGTGTGTTGTCTTTTGCACAGAATGCACTCAAGCATTAATTTTTACGCTTCAATTTCCCAGCAAAACACACACTAACATTCTCCGTAGAATGGAGCCCCCAAAAAATTGTTGACTAAATTATAATTTTTCATATGTGCTGCCCAGCGTCTCCCTCTTGCTGTCTCTCCATCCGTCTGTCTGTCCGGAGTCGTTAGTTAAAATATGAAGTCAAAAACTTGTCATCAGAAACACCCCGTGAAGCTAAAAAATGGCCACCAAGGCAGCATGTAAAACTTTTCAGACAGTTGCAGAAATCATTTTTGGCCATTTCCCTGGCTGGGCCAGAGCGAGACCGGGCGAGTGCAGGCGAGACAGCAACAGCGATGGAGTATGCTGACTTTTGTGGGTGTTTTTGGGCGCTGTTGGGCCCTCGTCGCCTGTCTGCAGCTGCAGCGGAAATGAGCTGAAAAAGTTGTGCAAATAGACGCCACCAGACGTCGCAATGTCGTCAGAGGTCCGGCCTTCCACCGCCCACTCGTGACCCCCTTGCGACCCCGCCGGATGTGAGCAGTAAAACAAGCCGACAGCCTTGTGTGTGTGGCCTCTCTGAAAAATCAAAACTAATTCCCGCCACTTGACCGGCTCGCACTTCAGCTGGAAATAAGTGAGAAAACTGAAGGTGTTGCGACTACTCTGTTAGGTATCCCAATTTGCTAAGGATAACCTTGTTTTTAGATTGGTCCTAATATACATGTGGGAATGGGTCTGGCATCTCCGTTCCACCTAACCCACCACACCACAGGAGAAGGAGAGACGTAGGGTGAAAAGCGAGGAGTTCGGAACGAGAGACAACGACGAAAAGACGTGCGAGCTTACGACGGTCACAAAACGAAGTTAAAATCAACTAAAACCTATTTCAAACTATTCTAAAATACATGTAAACGATCACTTTATACTTAACTAAACTATCTACTATAAAATATCATTAAATACTATAATAAAACTTAAAACTAGTGGGACTTCTCATTTAAAAAGGAAACCAATCCCACAAATATGGGGGCTCAACCTACGTGATAAAGTGAAATTAAAGAAACGATGAAAAACTGATTTAAAACGACGAAAAATTGATGAAAAAGTGTGTAAATTTCAAATTGTGAAATTAAAAACGACGACGACGCTACACACACACTACGACGCATACGTGTATGTAAGAGCGAGAGGAGGAATTGTGAAATTCCCCTGCAGTACCATTCATCAACAATTCATCAACGTTTCATCAATAGCCGAAGGGGTGTTGTTGATGATTCATCGATGAATGGCCATGCAAATTACTGATGAATTTAACATGGGCATGTCATAGGCATTCATCAACAACAATTCATCAACAATTAATCATCATTTCATCGATGAATTGTTGATGAATTACTGATGAAAGACTGATGAAATGTTGATGAATTGTTGATGATTCATCGATGAATTGTTGATGAATCATCAACAATTCATCAACATTTCATCAGCCTTTAATCAACAATTCATCATCAATTCATCGATGAATTGTTGATGATTTTTTTTTTCATATATAAAAATAAAACTCTTAAATTTTTATTAATATGATTTATTCTTACTAATTCTATACCAAAACTAAAACACAAATATTAAAAATTAAGATTAAACATCCATATATTAAAAGGCCTTAAGGTCTTTTTGATCCTTGGTGTTCCGCTTTCTATTCATGAAGACCAAATTTATTGCGCAGTATCTTCTCTGGAGGCTCAGTTTTAGTCACTTGGGAAATTGCATCTACAGAAAAAATTATAATTAATCCAGGGAAAATATAATTTCATTAAATAAAATTACCCAATATATTGGCCATTACTGCAGTCTGAAAAGAAAATACATACATACATATATAAATATAATATATTATATACATATAATAAATAAAATAATATACATATGTACATTTATAGGCTTCTATTTCATTAAGAACAATCTTTTTACTCACCTTTTTTTATATTCCAATATGGCCCGGAACGTAATTATTGAATTATTTGATTTCTTAACATTTTTAACACACGACACTTCTGCAGTGGAGAACACTTCAACTTGTAATGCAAAGGGAATAAGAAGAAGCAAGACGAAACCGAAAACCGCTGCTCCGAAAATATGGAGTCGAACCTTCGAGAATCTATTTTAATTGCGTCTTCTACTTTGTTTCGGACTTCAAAAAACGAAGCCCATGCAAATTGTTTTTGTTTTTTTTTTTTGCATGCACCGACAAATCGGACTCGAAGGGAGTTCGGGTCTCCGAAGGGAGTTCGGGTTCAAGTAGCAGTCGGCAGAGCGTCGATTCTGTCGACGTCGCAGTCGGCGCGTTGATGAATTGTTGATGAAAAGGCCTATTGATGAATTGTGGTACTGCAGGGTCAAAACGAAGACGACGCTACACACACAACGCTGATCTGCACGCATACATTTAAAACGACGCATAAGTGTATGTAAACGACGGGCAGAAAAGAACGACGAAAACGGTAGCGAAGCAACGACGTGCAACGACGTGTTCAAAGGAACGTATTTCACAATACACACAAAATGACTCAACTAGCGGATTTTGATGTGGTGCTGCAGGCATTGAAAACGGAGAAGAAAAAGAATGTAGACCTTCTGCACATGTTTGTGTATGAAAACAACGGCGATCGGCATAATCGTAAACGATTGCGTAATTTCGATGGATTCGATTTTACGGAAGAGGATGATCTGTTTGCTCAAAAAGTTTCGTACGTAGCTGAGAACTTGACCAACAACGATCTTGCTGTAATTTGCAATATATTGGGACTCCAACATGACAAGGATGACCTCATGATTCATATTTTTCGGAATTTGCGGTCTGGAAATTTGCTGAAAGATATCGGTGAAGAGGACGAAGAAGATGACGAAGATGAGGAAGAAGACGAAAACGAAGAGAGTGGTATACAGAACTGTATGAGAACTAGAGCAGGACAGAGAGAGAGAGCTGATAGCAAAGCAATGAGTGCGAGCAGCGAAGAGGAGGATTTTCGCTCTTTTAGAAGCAACACACAACAACAAGGAAGGAAGAAGCAGAATACCAATGTCAATGCCAATGTCAAGGCCTCTACAGTCGCGTCCGATAATAATGACGTCAGCTCAGTGCAAAGTTTTGGCACGGGTACGCCGCGATTTTCGGTTAACTTCCGGGATGTTGAGGACTCGATTAGACCATTCAACGGTGACGACACGTTGGCAGTGGAGGTGTGGGTGCATGATTTTGAGGATATGGCTTCGATCATGTACTGGGATGATCTTCAGAAATTTATTTTCGCAAAACGGTCTTTGAAAGGGCTAGCTAAAATGTTTATAATGAGTGAGCGTGGCATAAGAAGCTGGCAAATGTTGAAAAATGCCCTGATCAACGAGTTTAAAACGGAAGTAAACGGTGCTCAAGTACATAAAATGCTGTGCGAGCGAAAAATTAAGAACAGTGAGAGCGTGCAAGAATATCTCCTCAAAATGAAAGAGATAGCTTCCCGTGGCAGTGTAGACAGTAGTGCGCTTATGCAGTACGTGATCGATGGCATAAACGATTTAAGTGTCAATAAATCAATATTGTACAATGCGAAGGACATGAAGGAGTTTAAAGACAAGCTGAAGTGTTACGAGAAAATTCGCGAAAAATCTGGAAAATCGAAATATCAGGAAGAAAAGCTGAAATATTCAGGTGCGAAAGACAGTGGTGGTCATAAAGATGTAACCGTGCCGAAAAAAGTGAATTGCTTTAATTGTGGTGCTTTTGGACATACAGCCGCTCAGTGTTCTAATCGTAGCAACGGTCGAAAGTGTTTTAATTGCAACAATTATGGACATATTTCGAAAGACTGTCCTGTTGGCAAAATCGAACCGGTAGCAAATTCGAGCAATACGCGTAAAGTTTCCGAAGAAAAATTATCGATGTGCAAGGAGATTACAATGAAGCAAACGCAGTATACAGCCCTGATTGACACTGGCAGCAAATACAACATTATAAGTGAAACAACGTACATTAGTTTGAAGAAGCCAAAGCTGTGTGCTGTAAACATTGTTCTTGTCGGTTTCGGAAATCAAAACAGAGTAAAACCGTTTGGTTCATTCAAAGAAGAGTTCGAAGTTGACGGCCAGGTGTTTCAAGAAAATTTTCTGGTGGTTTCATCTGATTTTTTGGACGTTGAAGTTGTGTTAGGGGCAGAATTTTGTAACAATGCGGAAATTCAAATAAATCGCGACGGAATAAAAATCAAAAATCCAGAAAATCATGACTCTGATGTGGAAATAGGTGCGCTAATGAAAATCAACGTGGAAAATGAAGAAAATATGAGCATTAATATTGACGAAAGTGCAAGTTTCCAAGCCAAGCGTGAAGTAACTGATTTAATTAAAAGCTATAAGCCGATGAACACGAAGTCAACCAACGTTGTGATGCGTATCGTTTTAAAGGACGACACTCCTGTGCACTCGCGTCCGCGTAGATTCGCATTTTCCGAGAGATGCATCATTGATGATCAAGTCGAGCAGTGGCTTAAAGACGGTATTATTGAACAGTCTGAGTCTGAGTACAGCAGTCCGGTCGTTCTTGTGAAAAAACGCGATAATTCAACAAGGCTATGTATCGATTACAGGAGGATTAACAAGGTAATTGTACGAGATCTATTTCCCCTGCCCTTGATTGAAGACCAATTAGACCGTCTGCAAGATGCAAAAATATTCAGCACGCTAGATCTGAAAAACGGATTTTTCCACGTAAACGTTGAGGAGGATAGTCGCAAGTTTACATCCTTTGTAACCCACAATGGCCAGTACCAGTTCTTAAAAGTCCCATTTGGCCTCACGAATTCCCCAGGCGTATTTCAAAGGCACGTTAACGCTATCTTTCGAGACTTGACTCGTTCTGGTATAGCAATCCCATATGTCGACGATATTATAGTTCCTGCTGCAAACGAAGAACAAGCCGTATCGAATCTGAAAACAGTAATTAGACGATGCGAAGAATTTGGGTTGGTGATCAATCTCAAGAAATGCTGCTTTCTGAAGAAGAAAATCGAGTTTTTAGGGCACGTGATCGAAGACCAAAAGATTACTATATCTGACGAAAAGACCAAAGCCGTGACGAAGTTCCCTGTTCCGATAAACCAGAAGCAATTGCAGAGCTTCCTGGGCTTAGTTGGATATTTTCGGAAGTTCATTCTTGACTTTTCAATCATCGCGAAACCCCTGACTGATCTTTTGAAGCAAGACTCCAAATTCGTAATTACTGAAAGAGAGATAGCTGCTATTGATACACTCAAAAACTTGATCACGCAGAAGCCGGTGCTTAAGATTTTTCATCCACAACACGAAACGGAGCTGCATACAGATGCGTCGATTGATGGTTTCGGAGCAGTTCTACTTCAAAAATCTCCAAACGATAGTCTTATTCATCCAGTTTATTACATGAGTAAGAAAACGACAGAAGCCGAACGAAAGTTTTCCAGTTACGAGCTAGAGATCTTAGCAGTGGTTGAAGCTCTTCGAAAATTCAGAGTTTATCTCCTAGGTATGCGCTTTAAGTTGGTTAGCGATTGCAATGCTTTTACCAAGACGATGGAGAAGAGAGAAGTGTGTACTAGAGTCGCTCGTTGGATTCTCGAACTGCAAGAGTTTAACTTTGATGTTGAGCACAGATCTGGAACGCGTATACGCCATGCTGACGCTTTAAGCAGATACCCTGTAATGATGATCTCCGACGAAACCTTGCACAGCCAATTGAAATACATTCAGTCGCAGGACGAAGAGCTGAAAGCTATTATTGACATCCTGAATGAGAAGCCGAGTCACAATAATTTCTTTATGAATTCTGGTCTCCTGTACAAGCTAGTGGACGACGATGAGCTGATAGTTGTGCCACCAGCCTTTCAACGCGAAATTATTCGGCAAGCACATGAAAAAGGACATTTTTCTGTAAAGAAAACGAAAGAAATCATCGCCAAAGAGTTTTTTATCCCAAAACTGGAAGAGAAAATACAACGACAGATCAGATGCTGCATTCCATGCATCGTTTCTAACCGCAAGCTTGGAAAAAAGGAAGGAGAGTTGCATCCTTTGCCGAAGGAAGCGGAGCCACTTCAAACGTTTCACATTGACTTCTTAGGACCGCTCGAATCAACTCATAAAGCGTATAAGCATATTCTAGCAGTCATTGATGGATTCACTAAATTCTGCTGGCTGTATCCAACGAAATCAACATCTACAAAGGACGTCATCGCTAGACTGGAGGCTCAAAGCGCAATTTTTGGTAATCCTGCGCAAATCATCTCTGACCGTGGTACCGCATTTACATCCGACGAGTTTAAGCAGTATTGTACCAACGAGAACATCGAACTTCATGCTGTAACGACTGGACTTCCAAGAGCAAACGGACAGGTCGAACGTCTGAATGCTACAATTGTATCAGTATTGTCGAAGCTATCGATTGAAGATCCTAGCAAGTGGTACAAGTTTGTAAGCAGTGTTCAGCAAACTATTAACTCAACGTACTGTAGAAGTACACGCACAACTCCATTTGAGCTACTAGTAGGCGTAAAGATGCGAACTAAAACCGACGTACATATAAAAGATATCGTTCATCAGGAGTTGATCCAAATGTTTCAGGATCAAAGAGACGAGATACGGAAGACAGCCAAGCAACAGATTCTTGTCATGCAAGACGAGAATAAGCACTCGTACAACCTGAGACGCAGACCTGCAGAGAAATACAAAGTTGGCGATCTGGTTGCCATAAAGCGTACTCAACTTGGTGGCGGACTTAAGTTAAAGCCAAAGTATCTGGGTCCGTACCGCGTTACCAAGGTGAAGCCGAAAGATACGTATGACGTTTCTAAAGATACTGTATCTGCTGATGGGCCGAGATATACTACTACCTGTGCCGAGTATATGAAGCCATGGGCTTGTCTGAGCTCCAAGGACGACGACAGCAATGCATTCGGGACGAATGTCTAGAAGGATGGCCGAGTTGTGGGAATGGGTCTGGCATCTCCGTTCCACCTAACCCACCACACCACAGGAGAAGGAGAGACGTAGGGTGAAAAGCGAGGAGTTCGGAACGAGAGACAACGACGAAAAGACGTGCGAGCTTACGACGGTCACAAAACGAAGTTAAAATCAACTAAAACCTATTTCAAACTATTCTAAAATACATGTAAACGATCACTTTATACTTAACTAAACTATC